ATCGGCGGTGTTAAGATCGGGGATGGTTCTAATCAGCGATGGGTTAGATCGGCGGTGGTTTAGATGGGCAGTGGCCGACAGTGATTTAGATCGCTAGTAGTTGGTGTGATTCAAATGATGATGGTCGACAGTGGTTCAAATGGCGGTGATTCAGATTGGTGGTGGTTCAGATCGGCGGAGGTCTGTGCTAGTTCAGATCAGCGATGGTTCAGAACGGGTGGTGGTCGGTAGTGATTTAGAACGGTGATAGTCGACGGCGGTTCAAATGACGATGGTCGGCGATAGTTCAGATAGCAGTAGTCGGCGGTGATTCAGATCACGGTGGTCGACGATGGTCATATTGGGTTTTATGAGATTAGGGTATATTGGGTTTATGAGCACATTTGGTATTATGAAAATAGAGAATTCTATTTCATCAAAATATCATTTAGTTGCTAAGAAATGTTAAATTTCTTTATTTGTGAAATTTGTAGGATTTCGAAGATTCATTTCGTGAAAAAAAAAAGAACCAAACGAGGGAATAAAATTTAGTCAATGAAATTCAACATTCCAATTCCATCAGATTCCTTCAGAATTTGCAAACCAAACGTCTCCAGAGCATCTCCAACAACTATGTTATATATATTTTTAAATTATAGTATTAAAAGTCAACATTTTGAAAAAAAAAATATTACATTTAATTCCATTTATCTCCCTTAAATATTTATTTTCAATATCTTTTATTGATGGGAAATGATTAAAATATGATTTCTTTCCTATATATAGTTTTAGATATTTCTCTATTTGGAGATTTTTCACCTTCCCTTTCTTCTTTTCTCTATTTTAACAGACGTTTCAACATAGTTGTCGGAGCAAAATAACTGTTAAATCTTCAAAATATCTCTATTTTAACATAGTTGTTGGATATGTTTTTACAAATTATGGCAAGACCACAACATATTTTAAGACACGCCTAAAACACAGCGTATATGTTTTTTTTTTTGAAGTATATAATATTTATATACAAAAAATGCAACAAATAAACTCACACACTCTCCTCACTTATGGTGAGGTTTGAACCCCTGACATCCTAGAAGGCCAAAGGCTACGATAACCACAACGTATATGTTAACGGTGACACCTATATTACAATTATTTTTAAAAGTAAATTTCAAGATACACAAACACTTGTTACATTTATTTTATGAGATATTTTTATATGGTGAATTATATCTAAATGCCTTCTGTAATTGAATCTTTCATTTGGTTGAAATATAAATAGTTGATTTTGAGTTTTTAATGTAAAATAATATGAAAATTGAAGACTTTAATTTCAGAATGATAAAATTAAAGTTTATTTCTTAGTTGTTTTATATAAAAATAATTTTGATGTTAAAATATCGATGCAAGCTTGTTTATTGTAGGGATAGAAAAAGAACAATACAATCAAATCGTATCTAACATAATTAAGTTTTTAAATTTAAATGAATCAAATCATTAAACTATTTCTTATTTTATTCGCTCTAAAATAAAATAAGATATGGTTTTATGACTTGATTTGTCTAAATCAAAATTTTAATTACATTAAAACAATAAAATCATGTTTTTTCCACCATTACAATAAAACAATAAAATTAAACTGTACTTAATAAAATTAATATTTTAAAATTTTAAACAAAACAAATCATACAATAGTATCCTATTTTTTTGTTTTGATATTATATATATATATATATATATATAGGGTTTATTTCAAATACAACCTATCGTATTTGTACAACCAATGCAACCCAATAAATTGAAATATTTATGGAAATGATTARAGTTCATTTATTATGATTTAAATATTTATGGAAKATGAATACRKTTCATTAATTATGATTAATACTTTATATTAGAAAATAATCAAAACCTCTATAAAATCACATATTAATCAAATGAAATGGACGGTTGAGATTGGGTTGTATTGGTTGCACAAATGATAAGGGTTGTATAATAACCAACCTCTCTCTCTCTCTCTCTATATATATATATATATATATTGTGTGTGTATAAATATATTGTTTTTATTTTTTATAAGAAAAAAAAATTAGGTATAAAAAATTAGGCAAAATAATCTTTGATTTAACGAAGGCGTTAGTCAGAAGAACCACGACCAAGACAAATGGAATACTACAAAGACCAAATCTACAATAAACATACTATAAGAACCTTAATCAAAGAAAAGATCATAACACAGATAACAAATCCACAATTATGTAAAACTTAAGAGTAAATTACATTCTTGATCCCCATGTTATATGGGTTTTAACAGTTTAGGTCCCTAAAATGAAATATCTATAAAACCATGAGATTGTAATCCATAAATATTTTATTTTAAGGACCTAGGCTGTTAAAATCCATATAAAACAGGGACCAAGAATGTAATTTACTCAAAACTTAAAAAGTTGAAATTAGCATTGCTAATTTTAAAAAGTAATGTATTTAATGACGCACAACCATAATATCAAGATCACGAAGAGTTTGAAAATGACCGATTACTTAACGACGATAAGTGAAGGAAATTCAAATCTAAAAATATAAACATTTTTCGAATCAATTATAACAAAGACTAGGGTGTGTAAATGATACGAGTCAAGCTCGAGTATGAAACCTAATTTTCGAAGCTCGTACTCGACTCGAAAACTCGCAAGTAATAAAAGTCAAAGCTCGACTCGAACTCGATAACAATTTCTCAAGCTCAAACTCGAATCCAGCTTGAACTAAGCTCGAATCAAGCTCGAACTCAAATCAAACTCACCCATTGAAATTTTTTGGTTATTCTCTTATAAATTTTAAAACTTAAAGGTGTTCTTTTAATTTTATAAAACTAAAGGATCAACTTCAAACTTAATCATCACAAAGAGAAAGTTAGAAATTTCATTCACCTTCCTTTCTTCTTATAACATTTTTTTTCCTTTCCTTTATCATCTCTCTTCTAATGTGGGACAATTTCACTAATTTTTTCTATAGTTTTTCTTTGTCTTTTTTTAATTGTGATTTAAAAAAATAATAACTGATTAAGTGTTATAATTGAAAAATACATAATTTTGTTTAAATATCTAAAAATATAAGACATTTTTATTATTTATATTTTATAAATTTTATCATAAAAACTGATTATATTTTAAAATTAATTATACATAAAATAATCAAATATCTCACGAGCTGTTCGCGCATGAGGTTGCTTGACTCGACTCGTTAATATATTGAGTCGAGTTCGAGTGAAGCCTATTCGAATCGAGTGTTGACCGAACTTTGACCGAGTCAATCTCGAGTAGCTCGCGAGTTGTCTCGTATTATTTACACCCTTAACAAAAACCGGTTAATGTGGCCATTTAACATCTGATATGTTTTTTCTTTTTTTACTTAAAAATAATAATTTTACCGCTTATATAAATTTAAGAAAATATATATCATGAAAGAACCCTTACAAATACCAAAACATACATTCAAAAATAAGATAAAAAAGATGGTTATTACTTTCTTAAAAATTCAAATATTTTTCCTTATTCTTTAAATCAAAAACTAATAAAATACAAAAATAACGATCACATAGAAATTGGGCAAAATGCATAAAATAACAATCTACTTTCATAGATTTCTTTATTATAGCATTGTATTTTCAATTTTTTTCATTACAACAATATACTTTCAAACTATTTTTTATTACGACATTGTACTTTGAAAAATTTACCCATTATAGCATTGGGTAATCTTTTGATTTAAACTTACCCATTATACCAGGTATATATGTCACCTCATAGTCCACGTAGGCTGTCCACATATACTAGAGTGATGTGACTTTATTACTACATCATTGTACTTTAAAAATTATTTTGTTATAGCATCTATAGTTCTTATTAAGCATTGTATTTTTAATTTTAATATTTAGATATTTTACTTGTTATTTAATAAATATATTAAACGAATTATAAATTATTCATTAATATACCAATATCAATAAAACTAGTAGAACACAATTAATCTTGCTAATATTTTTTAAAAAATATGTGTTTTTTGAAAAAAGAAAATAAGAATTGTTCTTTTTTTACCAAAAAATATTATCTTTTAAAGACTATATTATATTTGTTCAAAAACTTTTACTTGACGGTATAAATGTATTAAATTAATTAGATTTTTTGAATTATTTATTATAACAATATTAAAAAAAATGAAGAATACAATTTATTTCGTTAACATTTTAAAGAGAACTTTAAAAGATATGTATTTATTTGAACAACATAAAATAAAATTTTGTTATCTTTTTTACAAATAAAATATATTAAGAAAATAATGTTTCATATTTATTTAAGAAATATTTTTTACTTTAGAATATTTAATTTGCATGCAAATTAATAAGAAAAAGTCAAAAAAATAAATGTTTTATTAGATCATGGTAATGAAAAATGAAAATTAACTAATAATTATTTGAAATAGATTTTTGTTTTTATTTTAGTTAAATCATCAAAATGATGTGTTATCGACATCATCTCATTAAAGTCACACAAACAAGAAAAAGTCAATGAGTTAACCGGTTTAAAAAGTAATAGGTTACCCATTGCTATTATGGATAGATTTTTCAAAATATAATATTTTAATAAAAAATTAATTTTAAAGTAATTGATATAATAAATAAAAACAAAAAAAGAATGTTATAATAATTTTTTTATAAAAATAAGTTGTTTTTTAATATATTTAAACCTATAGAAATATTGCAAATTTTTTGGTGCAGTTCTCTGTACTCTGATCAAGAGGAGAATGTACGAAATTGCCGGAGGAATTGATGATCGTACACAAACATACTTCAATCATGAGGTTTGATTTTGATGTGCATATATCTGTTTGTATGATTGCATTTTTTTTCCGGATTATTTGGTCACTAAATTGCTTGGTTCGATGCTTAGGGTTTGTTTATTTCTCTAATTGCTTGCAATTGCTAACCGTTGAAATGTCCATGGATGCCAATTGATTATAGGAAATTAGAAATTCAAATAACTCTACATGTATATTTGTTTATGAATCAATGATTTGGAAAAAAATGGAAGATTGAAGAATATATATTATCCATGATTCTATAAAGCATTTACAGTGTTCGATCATTCGTCTATCTTCGTTGGTAGTTCAGAAACTTGATACCGTAGGCAAAGACGAAGCAGAAGAGGACGGCCCAACCAACATGAGCCAAAGCGACGTATCCTAGAAAATCATACTCAAACCCTAGAAAATCTTTGATGAATTCCTTCACTGTGACGGAACTCTGGCCTGGAACCACAACTAAGGTTTCGTTTTCACCAAGCTGAGACGTGATCAAGCCGTATAGAGTCCATGCCACCGGTGAACCCCAGTAATACCACCTCCACCAGATTGGGATTTGCTGCAAAGATTAGGTAGTTTTGTTAGTAAAATGAAGGATCGAGTGAGGATAGAAGTTAAGGTGAGAAGTGTAAGAAGTGATTCGGACCCTTGATCACTTTTAATCTCAAACCAACCCATGAATTGTGCTTTAGAAGGGAATTGATTTAGTCTTTCTTTTCAATTAGGATTGATCCAAGAGTGAAAATCCCTTTTTACCTTTCTCATCATAACTTATATTCTCACCCGAACACAAACCCTTGTTAGTAAATAGTAATGCATTTATTTTAATCAGGAATCAGATTAGTGTGCTTTAGGGTATCATACCGTTCTGGGGATCATGAAACCAGAGAACAAGTTCCAAAAATTAAGGAAGAATGACATAGTAATTGCTGCAATCTGATAATTCGGTGTGAGGGCTACGAGCATCATCCCGTATAATGTGAAATAGACAAAGCACATGAATATGTAGAAGTAGAACCACAAGAACTTGTCGGCTGACCAATGGTATCCAATCATCGAGTAAATCAGAAGACTGTATATCAACGTCTGGATGCATACATATGCCACCTCAATTGCCACCTGCAGGCAAAATAGTGATCTAGCTTCAGTTTCTAGCAACTCCAATAGAAACAGAAAAGGTGACAAATTTCTCGTACCTGAGCAAATGCATAGGGGATTGCTGAATACATCCCAGCTGCTTTCTCACGGTAGAAAACTGTTCGTTCTACAGATACCACAGACTGCACGGCCGAAGTGTTGGTTCCACCAAGAAACATGACGGCAGCATACATAGCTCCCATCAAATTCATTACATCTTGTTGTTGGTCCCTGTCATAGCGACACCAAATCTTTAAAGTTAACATGCCAAAGATTAAAACAAATTGTTAGGTTTCTTACGTTTTTTGGCCTTTGTTCCAGAAAATTACTCCAAAGAGGATGCCAATCACTGTTGTCATGGAGAACCGAACAGCATTATATTGTGGATGCCTCCAGTAAGACCAGTGTTGTTTCCATAAACAAGCTTTGCATTGTGTCCAAAAGGATTGAGAGTACTTTGTTGGGAAGTAAAGGTCCTGGGACCCTTCTACCGGTGTACTGAGCTCTTTAATGAGCTCCTGGTTCCTCCTGTTAGCAAGAATCCATGAGTACGAGGCTTAGTAGAATATAAAAGACTAGGAGAATAGTAGGAGGTTTTCATACTTATACAGATCAGAGTTGGCAAAGATTTCTGCGAAATCGACACCAAGTTGAGCTTCGACTGCTGGAGAACTAACGTCAAGCATCCATGTGGCCGGATTTTGACCTTCTTTTATACTGTTGACCCCTGGAATGGACTGAGAAGTTTGTTCTTGTTAGCTCCATGATGTTGTTAAAATGGGAGAACGGAAAAGGGATGTACTCACTTCAAAATATTCGATTAGCAAGTGAGAGTGGTGCCCAAGGGGTCCTGTGTAAGTGACCTGCCCTCCTCTTTTCATCAACAACAGCTGCAAGAAAGTAAGGAGTAAGTTTTGAAGAACGATGACTTGCTGAACCGAGCAAATGAGAACCGAGTGATTGATTTCAGATAACTTGCCTCATCAAAAGCTTCGAAAATGTCAATACTCGGTTGGTGAATCGTGCAGACGACCGTCCGACCCGTATCAACCGTATTTCTAACGGTACGCATGACAATGGCGGCAGCTCTTGCATCAAGTCCTGATGTGGGCTCGTCCATAAAGATAATCGATGGATTTGCAACCAATTCTACTGCAATGGTAAGTCTCTTTCGTTGTTCAGTTGAGAGACCATCTACTCCCGGAAGGCCAACTAATGCATTCCTTAACGGGTTCAATTCGACCAAATCCATGACTTCATCCACAAACATCTAAACCACAAAAGAAAATGCAGTCGTTGTTGGTAACTTACAAAATGACCAAAGTTGGTAAAAGTAGACAAATTTTACCTGGCATGTTTCTGTGGTTATGTCCGGAGCAAGACGCAGCCACGCAGAGTACACAAGCGACTCATAAACCGTGACATGTGGAGAATGGATGTCATTTTGTTCACAGTATCCGCTTACACGAGCAAAAGTTTCTTGGTTTTTAGGGTAACCGGAGATGCTGACACTTCCTTTGATGTAGCCACCGGTCTTTCTTCCGGCTAGCACATCCATCAGAGTAGTCTTTCCGGCACCACTTACGCCAACCAATGCTGTGAGAATGCCCGGCCTGAATGCACCGCTGACATCTTGTAGCAGTTGCAGTCGATCCTGTTCGATTCCTTGAGCTTTCATTTCCTGATAAATTTGCATGATTTTGATGTTATCTTTTCACAGATTATCCGGAGAAATCAAGTATCTTATCTTGGTATAACTGGGACTTACAGCAGGCATGTCTACAAAGTAATTGACATGATCAAATGCAAGTGATAATGGTTGAAATGGAAGCACCATTCCTTTCTTGTTGATGTTATTTGCTGCCATTTCTGTGCCTGCTTGTGGGTGCTTCTCATTCTGCTCATCTTCTGTCGGAACAGCAGTCTTGGAATCTCCGAGAGCTGGATTTTAAATCAAAATGGTATATAAGATGCAAGAAACTCTGCAGATTACAAAGATTACACAAATACCCGAAATCATGATCTTACGATTCAAGTATGTCAGAGCTGCCACAAAGAAGATGTTAAACAGAACGGAAAACCCGAAGAGTGCCATGACACAAACCCAAAACATATACTCGGTCGTGAACATCCCCCTGGACTTGAGAAGAACCTTCCCTACAGTCGGTTCATTGATTCGTGAATCGGGGTTTGGCTGTGAAATGAGGGGAAGTGATTTAATTCGAGACATAAGCAAAACGCATGGAATTCGTGAGTAATGAGCATCAATTTAGCTTACAGTGCTCCATCTTTCATCTAAGAACTCGTTAATCACGATGGCATTTTGTCCATACATCATCGGGGAGATATAATATCCCCATATCATCCATGGCTCAATGTCGTCTGCAAGAAATGCAATACGTTATAAACACGCTCAATCACTTGTCAGTATGCAGCCTACAAAGAGTTGGGATACCAGATACCGACCTTTTGCAACGATGAATCCACCGAGTACAAAAACTATTAGCAAAGAAAAGGTGCCAAGAGCATTTGCAACAACCTGTGTTCTTCCTAGTGCAGCAATGAAACGAAAAAGAGACAAAGCCATTTGATGTAGGCCGATATAAGCCAAAAGCTGCTTGAAAAACCTGATAAATATTCAGAACCGGTTATCCAAGATTCATTCAAGTTCTACCTCATTAGTTTCAAAAAGATGCAACTACTTGCCTGCTTGCTGAAGGAGCAAAGCCAATAGTGTAATATGTTAGAACAATCCATATTACTGATTCCATGATCGATATAGGAATCTTCATGATCCATATCGGTAGTGCAAAGGCCCATGCTGGGTAGAACAACGAATCCCTCTGTTTGAAGAACACAGGAAGCCTCATAATCGTTAAGGCAAGCTCGGCTGCCCCATTAAACATCACATTTAGGAGACTGAAGAACAATGCACCAAAATACTTCCCCCCATCTTCAAGCTGACCACTCTTCATTTCGGTTCTAAAGAACACCGTGAAAGCAATAACGGACATGACAGTGATCTGGGTGGTCTTGAATATGTACAAGAAAGCGTTCCGTTTCATCAATAGCCATTCTCTAGCTAAGTTTGCTTTAAGGAGTTCCATGTTTGATATACCGTACTTTTCAGTCACCAAAGCAGCCGGATGGACGTTGGTTTTGTTATAAGGAACTGCAAGATCATCATAAAGGCGCTCACCAACCTGAAACCGGCCGAAAATCTGACCAAATTCAGGCACGGAGACAAAGTGGTAAGGTTCATTCTTATTAAACCAGTATTGTTCTTGGTCTTTTTTGGAAGTAACTTCTTGCAAAAAGTCAGCAACTCCTTTCCTTTCTGGGCATTTGAACCCTGCGCTTTTGAAGAAATCAAGAATGTCTGCACGGGGGCCTTGGTAGACGATTTGACCCTCGGAAAGGAGTATAATGTCGTCAAATAGTTCGAATGTTTCAGGCGCAGGTTGCAGAAGCGAGATGATCATGGTTACATCCATGATGTGAACCATCTGTTTCATGTATTTGACGATCTGAAAAGTGGTCGAACTGTCCAAGCCAGTTGAGATTTCATCCATAAAGAAAACTTTAGCAGGCCCAACCAACATTTCACCTGAAGTTACAGAAAAACAAAGAATCCTTCATCAAATTATTTGAAAGCTTAAGAAACCAGAAACATACGAGCATCGAATAATACCAGTAGTGGCGCGCTTTTTCTGCCCACCAGAGATTCCTCTTCTCATCTCGTCACCCACCATGATATCAGCGCAGATATCTAAACCGAGTATCTATTTAGATTCAGTTTCTATTAACTCGAGTTGCTAGAAACTAGAAAACTCTAATGAAAAATCTAACTCGAGGGTTTGAGATAAACCTTTAGAACATAGTCTGTAACCAAACTAGATTCTTGACCAGCCACGGCTGTGGCTTTCATGAAGGCGTCGATTTCTGGGTCTGGTTTGATCCCTCCATCTTTCTCACGCCGTGACAGTTCTGCCAGGAGGTCGTATCTGGTTCCTACGCCTAGACAACGTCCGGCAAAATCGAAGGTCTCCCTGACGGTCATCTCGCCATGGTGGACGTCATGTTGACTGATATATGCACAAGTTCTCTGAGGTATGAATTCTGACATCTGATGACCACAGTATGTAACTTCTCCAGTGATTCGTAGATCTGAATCTAGAATTCCAGCAAGTGCCCGTAGTAACGTAGTCTTCCCGGAACCAGGAGGTCCTAGAAGCAGCGTCATCCTGAAAAGGAAAAACTCGGAAACTATGAGCCAGTGAATATATCTGGTTTCCAAGAAGTTAGAAATGTCACAAAACATACCGTGATGGCCTCACAATCCCACTCACGTCCCGCAAGATTTTGACGACTCTTTTCTTGGATGGAACAAGCCTGATGAATTGAAGAAGTCCCTTTCGATGATAATTCGGTAGAAAAATGTTAGAAAGTGTAGATTGGACAATAGAATTTTCGGATTTCATGTAGTTTTAGGACTAGAAATTGACAAACCTCTATAGTGTTGAGTGTTGCATTTAGCAAAGTAGGAAGAGCTCTAGAACCAACATGAACATCTCCTTCAATCGATACATTTTTGTAGCGTACTTCGACCTTTGGAATATCAATCCCGACCCTGTTTAACCCGTACAATATTACACATTAGTAACGCTTGAAAAATGAATAGAAACAGATCAAGGATTAGTAGGTTCACCGATCGGTTCTAGCTCGAACTCTAATTAGAAACTTCTCATTATCTTCTTCCACAACTTTGAGTATACTCCCCATTAACTGCTTCTTATCCTGAGCTCCAAGATGTGCGATATCGATCTGTTCATGAACGATTTCCCCATTATCGAGAACTTGCTTCAAGATTCCTTTCCTTAATCTATCGTACGTAGGGAGTTTCTCGATTGCAGCCCATTTGAGCTCTTCTTCATCATCATCATGCCTTCCACTGCTCCTTGCGAAAGCATCACCACCACTAGGTGCCGCCGAGAAGGCCTCCTTAATACTAGCGGAAGCCCAACTCCTCCTGGAGGATGAGAGACTCCGCCTGCTCATCGACCTCGCCAGATCATCTCCGGCGAGTGCTGCTGCCATCTAACAAAATGGAGTTATATGAAGGTGGTGAAATTGAGCTTGATGATGAAGCTGTAATTAGATTTGACATGGGAAGAGGGTGTTGGTCTTTTATTTATTGCTAAGTTGGCATCTAACAAAAAGTCAAGGTTCACATTTGATTCGACGTTCATACCTTTTGCACTGGGCCCACTGAATCATGCCCAGTCTCTCATTCTTATCCTTAAATATTTACCATAAATATAATGAATTATATAGTCCCGTGATCATATTACACCAACCATCAGCTTTTTATGAGACCACATGAATTACATTAAATCTTCTTAATAAAATATTGTGAAGGTAACCTTTACATATTTGATAAATTTGATATCTATTTAATCGTTTAATTTTAAACAGATTTTAAATGGGAAAAGAAAACATAAGAATAAATCATTTATGTAATTATGAAAAAATATCTAAAATATACCAATGGTCAGCAAAGTGGGAACAATAAAAGTAAGAGATATGGGGTCCATTTGTTATGACTTTTTAGGCCAATATTTTTGTCCTTAACAAACTGAGTCAATTGTCAATACCTGATACATAACTTCAATAAAATTGAACCATATTTGTCGTGCCTGATTGGTTTGATTTTGGTTCCAAAGGTTAAAAATACCAGGAGGTCTTAGGTTCAAATCCAAAGAGGAATAAAAATTCTTTTGTGGCCACAGAGGTTCAAATACGGTGACTCCGGACTATCTGCAAAACAGGTGGTCGTCTTGGGATTAATATGCTCGCATAACGGATTGGATATCCAGGTTAATAAAAAAAAATTGTAAATGTATTCTTACTTATTAACATCTATAAATAAAAAAGATGCATATAACATCTGATTTAATAAAATTTCATTTGTTTAATTTTTTTTATATCAATAACAATACTGTTTTTTATAATTTTAATATGTGATTTAATCTGATTTTATATATATATATATATATATATATATATATATATATATCAACATATGATCTGGTGTTCCAAAGTTGTTCAATTTTTCTATTCATCTCGTTGACTAAATGTCGACATGTTCCAATAGGATCCAATAATCATGATTTTTGAACAGAAAAAATTCACGTGCAGGTCATAATCGAAACAAAAGTAAACGGTGTCTTCCAAGTCATTTCATTATAATTTGATGCTTCTTTTTCAATACTTTTATTTATGGGTGTACGTGGTCCGATTTGGTCAAATTTTAATGGTGGTTTATAAAATTTTCAAACCGAACGGTTTAATATCAAGTGCCTAGACCGGTCAAACCAAACCATGAAAAGGCGGTCTGGTCTGACCGGTTTAGACAGTTTACTTTAAATATTAAACTAAAAAACATATATAATTTATAATTTTAGATTAAATATTCATTTTGATTATGTTAGATGTTAGACTTTATGTTGGACTTAGGGATATATTTGAGCCATAGTCCACAATAAAATAAATAATTATATATATATATATATATATATATATATATATATATTTGGCGGTCGGTTTGGTCCAAACCGCCCAAAAAATGTTCCAGACCGCGGACCGGACCGCCCAGTTTTGCTATTTTTCAAACCAAACCAAACCACTAGACCACTTAAACCGCCAAAAACGGTCCGGTTTTACTTAGTTCGGCCGGTTTGAGCGGTCCAATGGTTTTTTTTAACAACCCTACTTTTATCACAAAATATCATTTCTTTAAAAAAGTTACGTATTTTAACTAAAAGTGTTTACAGTTCGGTCGATAGCAGTTAAATCGACCAACACAGTATGGTTGAGTTGGTTTTCTATTACTTTACTCGGCTAGCTGGATTAAAAAGTTATGTAAATTATTCTATCATCGATAATTCAGTTACGAAAGTTTGAGTAATTACTTTTTTGTTATAAAAACTGTACATGTTGATGATCGTATTTGTGCTTTAAATTCAATGTATCTAAAATGGTGGAAGAATATGGATGGTCTATAATCAGATGTATCTTTCACTATCTGAATAGCATCTTCTTTTTTCTTATTTAGGGTCCATTTAACAAATGCTCATTAGAGAGTGTTTATCTGGTAGAAATCATCATTCTTATTTTTCTTACCAGGTTATAAGATTTCCAGGTATTAAAATGACAGAGTAAAATCATTGGTAAGCGTCTCTTACCCGATAAGTGTTAACTAGCTAAGATTCTTGATATTTGTTATGCTTTTTATGAAATAAGATTCTCGACCTTTATTATATTACTCTGCTATGGTAAATAACACGATAAACACTAACCTGGTTAGCATTTGATAACAACTCTTTAAATCTCCTGATGGTTGGTTAGAGGACCAAGATTTAATAAGGTTTTTTTAGATTTAAAACTCCTTGCATAATCTAACCGGGTCAACCCGACAAAAATTTGATGGTGAACAATGTGGAATTCTGATTCGAATTCTCCTAACAATAAATTCAACTAAAATTTGAATTCAGACTTTAATTATCAATCATTCTGTCAAAACTTTGATATGTTATACATATCAAAATAATATTTAAGGAGGTATAAAAAATTTCTTGTGGTCACGGAGGTTCAAATACGGTGACTCCGGGTTATCTGCAAAGCAGATGGTCGTCCTGAGATTAGTCGGCTTGCATCGCGGGTTGGATATCAAGGTTAATAAAAAGAATAATATCCACTAAAAGACAAAAGAATTCGAAATCACTGTAAACTTAGTAAATACAATTTTCAAAACTAAAAGTAATTGGAAACCATATATTCAATAGATTTTTTAAAATTGAGAAAGCAACAAAATGGTCATGATATTGTCCAAATTTTTGGAGAACTTCTAAAAATGATTACTATTAGAGAAAAATATTTATATCATATTTTCAATAAAGAAAAATTTGAAATTAAATGTTTAGTAAAAATAAATAATATTTTATTAAATGTATGAAATATTTGAACAATACAATTAGTGTTGTAATCTTAAAAATGAAGAAATTGTTGTAGTTGAATTTAATTTTTTAGATATTTTGGATTTTGGTTATCCATTTTAAAGAAATTTCAAAGAATATAGTAGGGGATGTTCTAATGAATTAAATTAGTAATTTTAACACGAATTGTTCTGAAATAATAATTTTAGAAATTTGCATTAATTAATGATTTTTATTACCCTTTAAAAAGAGAAATTTGTAGTAAAATGAAATAAACTTTGAGTTGATTCTTATTACGGTAAATACATCATTTTCCGTCACCATCTTGTCGTTTCGCTCTGCTTCTCCATTGTCTAAAGGTTTCGTGAAGTTGTTCGCTTTCCTTTTAGCTCGAAGTTCTCTCTTTTTTGTTCTTTTGCATTGCATGATGATGTTTTTTCTCTCGTTTCTTTTTTTCTTTTGCATATTTGTTTTTCACGGGAATTTTTCGTTTTTGATTGGATCAATGTTTATTGGATTTTGTCTTTGTGTAGATTGATGTTCATGTAGTTCAAAATCTTATATGGTTTTTGTATTAAAATTTGAAGGAAAATCAATGAAGTTTGATCATGTGTTTAGTTGGCCAGAATCTCTTGTAGGAATTTGAATGTGCATGTTTAGTTAGCAAAATGTAGACTTCAGTTTCAAATCAGTATGATATTATTACTAGGCGATGATGAAAATGGCTGCCAAAGATACTAGTTGGGTTCGGTTGTGGTGGGAAGTGGGAACATATAAATTATGCTAGGGTTTTCCTTTCGGCAGTTTTGTATTTTTGAAAAAATAATAGGTACGAAATTGAATTTCATTATATATGCGATAAAATATGAAATTTATGAACAATGGAATCTATGAAATTCAATTTCCTAATATTATCAGCAAAAAAGGCACCTGTACACACAAATGGGAATCCAATCAAATTTTTTTATGTTACTTTGCATGTTGTTAGTAGCTTAATGATACAACTTATTATATTAACTATATGACTGTTTGGTAATGGTTTAATAACATATAAAAAATGACTTATTCAGTAAACTTTTAAAAAAACTGTAAGTAAAAAGTCTTGTTTTTTTCCATATCTACTCTCCCCAGTTAAAAAAATACTCTCAAACAAATATTTGCAATCTATACAAACTGTCTACATAGATAGTTTTATTTATACATGATTTAATAGAAAATCAACCAAATAAGCCTGAGAAAGTAAGAGGATTGATTAATTAGACCATTATTATATGTGTAATGCATTTCATCAAACGCCAAACTATTGACCACCATCACCAAAAAAAACCTGCGTCTTATTTCCCTTTTCACATTTTAGCAGAAACCAAACCCAGAGTAAGGTCTACCATTGATGCAAATCAATTAGCTCTACAACAATCAGCTCTAAATCTATAAACAATCTACTACTGATCCACCATTTGCTGCTACTGCTGCTGCTATTTTAAGCGCCATGGCTGCTCTGTAAGTTGCCAAATCTGCAGTCTCCATAGCAGCCTGAGCTTCTTGTCGTTTAACAATGGCTGCTGCTTCTGCCCTCCTTGCACCTTCCTCTGCTTCATGCACTTCCACAATCACCTTTGCCAACTTGTTTTCATCATTCAATATTGCCGCTGTTCACGTTTTCATATCAATTTCTAGATCAAGGCTAAGAAAACCTTATTCGGATCGCAATCATAATATAAGAATTCGAATCTTGAAAGGATTCGGATTTGCTATAAGAAAAAAGGTAAAGGGACTCGAAGGATGCACACACCTTTGAAGAAATCAAGTTGCTTTTCTACACAACGTTGGCTCGCCCGTCTTCTGGATGAACGTTTCTTACGCAGAACAGCGCTTGTGGAATGTCGTTTAACTTTTTTACACGGATAACACTGCCATCAAGGTCCTTGTTAGAAAAATCTCATTTTATATGAAATATTAGTATAGTAGAGCTGATTTAATATTCGAAATGAATGTGCATAATATACATGAAAATTCATAATGAATAATTCATGAAATTCATTCATTTATGAATATTTGGTTCCCATGCTTCTCAACATATTCACAGTTCTCAAATGAACCTACTTCTATATAATTATATGTATATATCTTTAACGAGGGAACTTTTACCTGAAAAACTTGAATAAGAGAGGATCGTTTCTTCTTCCGTTTAGTCATCCAATAACTATAAACAGCTTCTAGAGTTTCCTTTGATGCCAGGCTTGAACACCGATCAATAGCTGATACAACATCAGAGAAATAAAACGGAGTACAATAGCTTCCTCTCTCAAAAGCATCGATTATTTTCTCTAAACTATCTTCTGAGACAGGCCCGTTATCCCCAAAACGCTCACTGTTCAACTCCTTTAACCACCGCTCATCATCAGAATCCATATCATAAATCGGATAACTCTTCTCCAAACATCTAGTAACTTCGGCACTTCTAGAACAAATATAAGTCTCAGGTAGCATAAAGGGTACGTACTCATCTTCTTCATACCCTTCTATTTCCCTCACGCAAGGCACTGGCACTATATTTTCTACATGGGCCCACACGTTTCTTCGGAAACATTTCTTGAAAAGCGCGACCCTTGGCACTGTTTTCCTTGCAGATCTAGCTTTTCTAACGATCATACATTTATCTAAAGCACAGTCCCTTTCCGTAGTGACGATTAGTGGCAATTTAACATCATCGTCGTCATCATCATCATCATCATTCATAACCTTTTCATCTACTGAATGCATTATGAATGCGTAGGACAGGAATGAATATATTAGAGCTAAGGTTGAGTGCATATACAAGAAGCAGAATGGAAGTGCATTGATGTCCACGGTGAAGAATGGTGCAGAAAAAATGGAGCCATATACTTTACAATATCCATGGCCTATAATGCAACTAGAATCCTGAAAGATAGCAAAAAAAGATAGAAATGAGATGTAGAAATACTACCAAATGTGATCTTTTTCTAATTTATCGATAATAGATTGTTGATTAGACATGAAAATGTAAAAATCATAGCATACCTGCAGACACCGGATGCCATTTGAGCTCATGAAACAAGGAAACTGTTGAATGTTGCTAATGCTATCACCACTTCCATAACTACAATGGCTGAATGAAACAACTGACTGTTTCAATGAAACATCTTCCCCATCAAAACCAAACTTCGAATCGCAACAATCGGTTCGGAAACTAGTTCTAACCTTCTTAAAGTACTTCTTTGCATACCTGTCATCTGAACCACACTTTTGCTCAAAACTACTGCATTGTATACTCGAGTCTCTTCGTAATGTCCTCTTTCGTTTTCTAGTATAAACAGCTCCAAATTGCTTGCTACAACTCACATTATCACTGCCATTATCATCGACCAAGCTCATATTTTTGAATTTCCCTAATTTGATCTCTTGTTGCTCTTCACCATTCACTTTCTGGAATTCCCCCAATTTGATTTTGATTTCTTCTTCATGGGTTCCATTTCCATTCAGTTTCTTGTATTCGCCCAACTTGATTTTTCTTTCTTGTTCTTCGTCATCAATTTCCATTGCCATGTTAGATCCATCCACGTTTCCATCTTCTCTATCCAAATTATGCAGCCCACGTTCACCACCATGATCCAGAAGCTCGCCCCTGTTTTCTTGGATATCTAAAACAGCAACAGGCGATAGTCTCGCTCGCTTCACTTCTTCCTCGCATCTAGTAGCAAACAATCGTCTTCCTGATCTTAAAACCCTACCCCCGAAAACCCTAGTACTTCTCTTCATCCCCAATGATCTTAAGGCCAGCCTTCAAAAAATTCGTGAAGCGTAAGCTCCAAAATCTTTAATATTCCTCCTCATCCCCAACGACGACACATAAACCCATTTTTAATTTCTCAAAAGTTCTCAGAGCAACCAACCGGAGAACACGCACGAAATCTTCGGCAACGCACCTCAGAGATATAATTATGTGTTTGAATAGGAAAGAAAACCGGAAATTTAAAAGGGAGAACGATAATCTGGACAAGATAAAACCTGGGTTTTCCTCCGAAACCGATGAATTTTTGAGAGATTTCGAGTCGTGGCGATTGAGAGTACACAAGCTCTGGGTTTCTGTGAAAGATTTTAGTGCGTGTACCTGTTGACAGTGGTTTGGGTTTCAAGAACACCAGAGAGATAGAGAGAGACGGTCGTAGAAAATGAAGAATCGGGCGGGGAAAAGGCGGGGGGCGGGAAAACGAAAAGGTGCATATGGCGGTGCGATGAGAGAGAGAGGTAGGAGAAGAGGTGGCGACCGTTGGATCGTGGAACCCTAGGGTAAGTCCGCTGCTGCTGCGTCGCATGTTATATTGTTTTTAAAAAAATAAATTGTGAATTACAATTTTGGTCCCTGTAGTTTGTCAAAGTTTTGGATTAGAACCCTCGGTGGTATTAATTATATGTGAAAAGTACAATAAAAACCAATGAACTTTCTTGTTTGGAATGATTAAGTCCTTGAACTTTTTTTTGGAACAAATAAGTCCTTGAACTTTCCAAAACATGTTAAATAAGTCCTTGAACATTCCAAAAWATGTTAAATAAGTCATTGGACAATTTTTGGAACAAATAAGTTCTTGAACATTTCAAAAAATGTTAAATAAGTCATTGGACAATTTTTGGAACAAATAAGTCCTTGAACAATCCAAAACATGTTAAATAACTTTTTGAAAAAAATAAAGTGGTAAAATAGTGAAAAAAATCCGAAAAAAACCCAATGAACATTCATATTTTGAACGATTAAGCCTCTAAATATTTTTTGAACCAAAAAATATTTAGATCTATAAAATTAAACAAATATAACAAAAAAGTACTTACATTTACAAAAAAATAATTACCATTTTAACTAGTTGTACAAGTCATTAGAATGTATCCAACATGTTTTATAAAAGTTCAAGAAGTTATTTAACATGTTTTGGATTGTTCAAGGACTTATTTGTTCCAAAAATAGTCCAAGGACTTATTTAACATTTTTTGGAATGTTTAAGAACTTATTTAATATATTTTGGAATGTCCAAGGACTTATTTGTGCCAAAAAATTGTCCAAGGACTTATTTAACATGTTTTAGAAAGTTCAATGACTTATTTGTTCCAAAAAAAAGTTCAAAGACTTAATCATTCCAAACAAGAAAGTTCATTGATTTTTATTGTACTTTTCCCTAATTATATTGGTAGCATTGAGGTCCCTCTAGTTTGCCAAAACATTGTTCATTAGTTGCTCAAGTTCATTGTTGTTTAGAGGACCGAAATTAATAAAGTAGAAACCCCAAGGACCTGATTTACCAATTTACCAAAACTTTCATTATAAAATTTCAAATACATCCATAAACTATATAAATGATTGTATGCGGCACTTATGGTTATTATCTAATGTAGATATAACCACAAACGCTACTAAACAGGTCCACATTTTAGGCGGCTCTATCCGTTAAAATCCGATATGATCCGTTAAAACTCAATTCGATCCGTTAAAGCCCAATAGAACTGTTAAAATTCAATACGATCAATTGAAACCCACTACGATCCATTGAAGTTCAATAGAAACGTTTAAGCCCAACTAATATCTATTAAAGCCCAATTGACACATTAAAGCTCATTACGACTCATTAAAACCTAATACGATCCATTAAAGATCAATACGATCTATTAAAGCCCAATAGAACCGTTAAACCCCAATATGATCCACTAAAGACCAATATGATGCATTGAAGTCCAATACGATCCATTAAAGTCCAATACAATCAATTAAAATCCAAGAGGACCGTTAAAGCCTAATATGATCCATTAAAGTTCAATATGATTCATTAAGAATATATGTAACATTTTTCATATATAGAAAACCAAAAGTATGAAAACAATTAAAAAAAATCAAAAATCCGCCGGAAATCCGCCTGAAAAATTCCATGGTGAACCGCCGGAAAACCATTAAGTTTTTTTAAAAATCTTGAGTAATTTATTATTTTAAATTACCGATGGCCACGGTATCCGCCGGAAATCTGCCGTAAATATAAAATAATAAATTTTAATTATTTTCCGGCAGATTATCGGCAAAGGTTAATCTTAAAAAATTAATCAAAAATCCGCCGTAAATATTGCTGGAATATATTTAATGGCAGATTTCCAGTGGAAGTCAATGGAAGTTGGCTTTTTTGATGTTGAAAACCCGGTTTTCTAGTAGTGAAAAAACACAAGTTCATTATATGAATACAAATTTTAATCGCATCTTGTTAAATACAAATATGTTTGGATCATGTTACTGACACCACAAATAAATACATTAATACCCTTCAAAGAGAAATATAGATATTGGACCAACTCATAACTTAGTGTAAATTTTAAAGAGTTCGATATGAATTTATTGGACAACGAATATCATGATTTTTGCAAGTAGAATTGCGAGGGAGTCAAAAACATTTATTTATCGAAACCAGTTTCACATGATTTACCAAACTATGATATAAGTTTATGCACATGTGAATGTACTTTTTGCAAATTATGCGCTCATATTATTTGTTATGCACATGATAAAATTTTAGCAAATTTTAATCTCAAACATTATATTTTATTGTGGACTAAATATATAATGTGACATAATATTTGATAAATGATATGATTAATATGTTTTGTTTTATTTTACGTAAAAATATTATTTTAATCGTTTATTCATTTTACATTATTAGGTCAC